AAGCTGGCATGTGGTCTGGCTGCGTGCTCTTTGATTGCCTCACTCTGGCAATGATGCGGTCAGCCCCTTTTCAGTGGAGAGAAACATAAAGGGGAGTCCTTTCAGCTTCTAGCATGTCTCGTGAATGGGTGCTTTTATTGACCGAGACTTTGGGAGAGTTTCTTGTTACGGACCACACCACACCCACATCTTTTAGTGATCTCCTGCTCAGGTGGCACTTCTTGCCCGTGGACCAGCCTCTGGAGGACTCAGCCCTTTGGTCCTTGCTGGACGTGGGAGGTGGCGATGGGGAAGACTGCAGGCCTGGGTCCTTCCCCTAGGTCATGGCTCAGGGATACGAGGTGGCTGTGAGGCCTGCATCCTGGTGATCTCCGAGCAGGGACCGGAGCTCTCTGTCTGGTTCAGCTGCTTCTCCTTGCAGTCAAAGATGAGGGTGTCTCAGCAGGGCCTACCCTGGCGGACCTGCACATGGTGGGGCCAGCCCTTGGGGCTCTGCTTGCCATCCCAGGAATGCACCAGAACGAGAGGGTGATTTCATGGGCAGGGCAGGGCCCCTTTCTCTGGGAAGCATTTGGAGCTTCCCAACACAACCTCAGAAGCAGAGAAGACTCAACCTTGCAAGGCATCTGTGCCAGGGAGAGGCCCTGGCACTCCTGAGCTGCAGTAGCTCCTTGGTGTTCCTGCCCATCGTACTCCATGCGTGCTGGGTAGGGAGCCCTGTCATTTGAGCATCACGTCTCGGAATTCACATGAGCAATTGCAGCAAGCTGTACGTGACTGCAGGAAGAGCCGGCCCTCCCGGGACACGACATTCCCAGTCCCTTGCTTTATTCTTCACTCGTGTCCTGGATCAATCAGAAAAACTTGTGGGAGAGAGTGAAGTCCAAAAGCCTCCATTTTTACTGATGGAGGAGACCGAGGCCCCGGGGAAATCCCGCTACTCCTGTTTGCAAAGCTGGCTTGGTGTTGGAGAGGGACCTGACCTGCAAATCGATCCTCTCCCACCCCTTGTCGGAGCCAGACTGACCAGGCTCTCCTTGCTGCTGTGTAGAGTTGAGCCTGGGGGGCAGGGGGTGGGGGAACCTTGTGGCCCCAGCCCCTAACTGCTCTGCCCAGGTGCTGCCCTGGGAGGATCTAGTCTCGCAGGGCCTCTCAGCTGTACTTTCAGAGAGCAAG